TCGGCGGCCTATGCTCCATTGTGAGTATTAGGGATAAGTAAGTAAGCAATATGTTTGCGTATTGATGAATTTGTACCAGCATGGTTGAGAAAACGTGCTACTAAATCAATCAGCAGCACTTATCTTTCTCATTTGTCAGAAAGTGAACATCATATCGAAATATAGGAAGCCTACTCTATCTTATATCAAGGTACACAAATCCTACCTCACGGAGCTAGATTACGCATACTCTACACAGCCGGGGATATCTGTATCAACTGCAGAGAACCGTATCCGGAACGGTTGTATTCAGCCTTGACCTAAAACTGAATAAGTAGATACTCAAACTGAATATCATGAAATTCTCACCCCCTACCCATTTCTGTTTTTGATTACATCTGTCCTAAACTTTACATCCACAGTCTACACTTCATGTGACCGCATTCTTATCGTAAGTACCTTGATCACACCCATTTCATCATACATTATATCCGCAGAAATATCTTATTATTAATACTACAATCAAAACTATCACAATTAACATGATGAAATTCTCCTACCGTTCATTTTACTTCCATGATTCTTTATTTTGGTAGATTACTAATATTTTGTGTTGGATTCGACACTTTACTTCATATCATTCTGACCCTTATCAAATAAACTGTCTTACATTCAAACAACACAATTTGGCAGTATTCGTGTCGTAACAGATGTACACGTTCGACATTTCTAACATGTGACATTGTCAAATTCATTAATGCATGCCTTATTTTGACCTTTGTAAGGTATAACAGAAATGATGTAATTTTAATGAATGTAGGGCATGAGGATGAAGTTGTTGAAAGCATTGGTTTGCTCTAATAGTTTTCATTTTTGAATTGTTAAAAAGTGAAAATGAAAACACATGACCAAAACTGAGTGATTCAGCTCATTTATTAATAGTAGAATTGAAGTATTTCGGTCAACCAATTGACATAATGATCATGACGCATTATGATGAAATGAAAATAGTATTATGATGTTAGATGGAACTAGCCAACTAATGAATCCAGCTCATTTGACAAACTAACAAATCATGTGATCTTACTGGTTAAATGGATTACTTCATTGTACGTGATGATTTAGTTGTATATATATATATATAGGAGTGTATTCGAAACTTAACTCATTGTGTCTTTCAAGTAGAATGTAAGTGTTGTTACATAATAATTTTATAATATGTAAATGAAGATTCTGAGGGAAATGATTGACTTTCATATTGTATTTGAATATACATTTTTGTATTGGATTCGAATGTGAATTATTTCATGAAGAGCGAATTCAACGAATAAACGACTTCAATAAAATGAGTGTCCAATAACAGATTCGAACTCACTATAAACTCTCAGAGTCCTTTGTTGACAGGGAATCAAAATTTTCTTTCTTTATTCTAACTAGTCTTTCATTCACTAGTTTCAGTTTGAGCTTTACACTGACTAGGACAAACCAGAAATATACTCCTGAGGTTATCGAAGAAATATCAATCAATGTGTTCTTTATCAACTTATTAATTTTGTTTTTATCCCAATCATAAATCACCATTTGATTCTAATTATTCTACGGATTGTTGGATGTCCGTTGAAAAACTGAATAATTCCAGTTGAAATAGTCAATAAAATGAGTGTCCGATAACTGATTCCGATTTTCGTTAAATTCTCAGAGTTCTTTGTTGACTCGTTACAACTGTTCACACAACGAATCATACATGTTTACTTCGCTGTTTATTCATCTATGCATGTATATAACGAATGACTTAAATAAAAGATGTTAGATTAAATTACACACCATTTGTTGTGTGAGAAGACTTGTCTGCATTAATTTTATTTGTTTATGCATTTGAATTGACTAATTATTTCTTACTTGACAGTATTTTGGTCTTTATTGTTCATTCATAGGTGTGCCATTTTAACAATAGTTTTGCAAGCGATTATTTTCACTGCTTCGTGTGTGTTGTGTTTATATAATGGATTGACTATAACACCACCAATGGGATGGAAGATTTGGCCAGAATTCCGATGTCCAATAAACTGCCAAAAATATGCAAAAGACTGTCTTAGTGAGAATGAAATCAAACGAACAGCTGATAAACTGGTTTCGGATGGTTGGAGAGATCTGGGTTATAAATATATGGTAATTGATGATTTTTGGTTGGCAAACAAACGTGATTTGGAAATGAATAATATGTCGGCATATTCTACACGATTTCCTAATGTGAGTTGATCCGCCTAATTTGGTAAAAAATGTCCAAAATTTGTGTATACTTTTTGAGCAATATAAAATTAAAACGATCAGAAATAAATCAATGTCATCAGACTGCTGAGTTAACTGTAGTCTTCGTTCACAATAATCATTCTCCTGTGTGATTAACGTCATCAGTCTATTGATCATGAATTACATATCATGACTTCCTTTGTACTAAACAATCTGTTCAACTACGGATTATTTTTGATTTGCTTTCATGTCTGTAAACTACCATTGTGTGTTGGCGTTGTAATTCGTTAACCTTAAAATACATATTTTATTTGGCAGGGTATTGAAAGCGTTGGAAAATATCTGCACTCCAAAAATCTTCTGTTTGGTATAAATCTTGGTAACGGGGCCACGAAATGTTCTGGTTATCCAGAAAGTATCAATCAATTGAAATTGGATGCAAAAGCAGTGACCGACTGGGAAGTAGACTTTGTGAAGTTGCATGCATGTCACTGTACTGAGAATGACTTTGATAAATATGCCAAATTTCCTGGAGGAACTGGCAGGCCTGTGATGCTTTTGTGTAGTTATCCAGAATATAAGTATTGGCTTACAAATCCCAATTTATTTGACTGGAGAAGATTACAAAAGACGTGTCATTTGCAGCGACTTTCGTCAAACGGGCGAAACGACTCGCGATATATTCATTATATACGTCGGTTGATAAATCACCACGACGATTCACCGATTGTGGAAGGTTCAGTGCGCTGGAACGAACCCGATATGTTGGCAATAGGAAAAAACGGACTTTCGAATGATCAAAATCGAGTTCATGTGGGCATGTGGTGTATGTTCGCCGTTCCACTACTAATATCAGCTGATATGGAAAAAATGAATGAATTCAGTGCATCTTTGTTACGTAACAAACATTTGTTGGCGATAAATCAGGATAAGGGTGGACATCGGGCGAAATTCGTCAAATCACGAAATGATGTACATGTAAGTTGACTGCATTACATTGAAATTCCAATACATTAGTATTCTAGTACTTTCGTCTGCAATATAAAATCTCTTACTGAATATTACATTATAATGAAGCTCTTTTATTCTAAATATTGCAATACAAATAATGAACATGAGCATTAGGAACGTATTATTTGATCTCAGTGACATAGATTAGTAAGTGTGCATTGTAAATCATAAGACTAACTTGACCACCAATTCGTTAATATACACAATCACTGTTGTAGCTGTCACGAGTACCTACTATGTTCTAACGGAAGTGTACACTGATCATTGTTTCGATTTACAAACAGTTATTACCAGAAAGCAAGTAAAGGGTAAGCATTTATTAAGACCAATCAAACGTTACTTACTTACTTACGCCTGTTACTCACAATGGAGCATAGGCCGCCGACCAGCCTAATCAAACGTATTTAACGAAATTAATTTTGAATATTATGCGTCTGGAGATAAATGGTAAGAGGCACACAGAATGTCTATCATGCTAGTCGGCACCTATCTCACTGTTTTTTCTCAATTGAATGAGTACTTATTGTAAGTTCTCTATTCATATTTCAAGGTGTACGACAGCAAACACTTAATTATGCAGTCATTTCTCTTCACTACTTTTTCTTCAGCAAAGTTACAAGATTTCGTTAACATTATTTTTATTTACCAGTATACTGACTAATAACAAACCTTTCACATCTGTTCATACATATCTGTTCTCACAGTTGTGGATACGAAAATTAAGTGATCATCCAAGTGGTTGGGCAATCGCTTGCGTCTACACAAGGGTTGGTTTAGGACCTATAAACTTTATCACGAGTCTTGATGAATTCAAGTCACAGATGTATACGATATCAGGAGATAAGTTCCAATTACTGGATGTATTCACTGGTGATAGGTTCAAAGACGTGGGATTAAAAGAGAACTTTACAATTTCTATCAACCCAACTGGAATAATGATGTTTCGAGTCATTCCATTTCAATTGATTCGCAGTTCTTAATAAACTGATGAATGTTTACATAGATAACTTGAGTTCAATTTCGTTCATTTGTTGGTTTTCAGTAACTAATCAGTAACTAAATCAATCTGATCATGCCTGTAAACTGGTGTGAATCCTGTAAATATTATTTTCAGAATATATTATTATTATTATTATTATTATGTGCTTCTGGATTGAAGATTTATCACAATAGAGTTATTGTTCTCAATTTCTGCTTGTTCTCCTTTTTATAACACTCAGACAAGAACTGTTCGTAATTTGCCAACTTTCATGTTTGCTTTAGACTATAGACTATTATATAAACACGTTTCTGTTTCTCTACTCTTGAATCAAGAGTTGACTAGTACCACTTCAGACGTTCATTGAAATATGAGTTATTTTATATGCTGTAGATAGAAGGATATTACCGATCAGATCAGACGTGTGTCTGCACCTATCTTTCCATATAATGACGAATATTGAGTAACTGATTACTATTAGGATGCATATTGGATAGTTTCAAAATGCCTTATTCCCATCCTTCTGGTCACGTTAACTTAAGCCAGTTAACGATGTGGGTAAGTTGTCATCAAAGCTGAAGACTTGGCAGCATCAACCATCACACCCGTGTTAGACAACACAGCTACTTGAGAAATAGATTCACTGGAAATTTTCATTATTATCATTTTAATAAGGAAACACTTTAATTATGGAATACTGATTATCTCTATTCATTACTTTGCCGGCATAATAACTTCCAACATTATTCTGTTCATCGAAATTGACAACGATAATGCAAGGGCGGTATTCCGTATAGCCATAAGAATGGTGGGAATGAAGACTTTCGTACATCACCATATCACGAACATTTTTAAATATACGATGAGATTTTGTTGCCTCAAATCGGATAGTCCATTTATCTTTTTTTCGGACAATCATTACTATATAGTCCGGTTGATGATGAACATTTTCAGAAATGCGGCTTAACATGAGATGAAGGCGTTAGCCCGTAAAAGCTTTATCGCTAGATTAGATATTCAACTTTAAAATCAATGACCCCAATTTTGACTACATACAAACATTTTTCGAAAAATACTGAACGTTATTTGTACCGACTGAATTCAGCTGACGTTTATTTCGCAGGAACATAGATGTCAGTGTTTTATCCCTCTTCGTGAGAGTACTTGATGAGTATCCAACATATCTACAACCAGTGCTGAATGATAAAATATTTAGTGGTACAAACACATTGGTCGCCTATCACAACACTTGGTTTCATATGATAATTAAAGGCAATGAAATTGCAAATGCTATCTAGTAATGAAGAGAACCATTTAACAAGTACTCCATTGCTCTACCAGTTGCATTCAATAATTTAGAAAACTTTCCATAACCATCTGGCATAATGTTTTCTGGACTATTGCATCCATCCATCTTTACATAATCAGCTTCCCATTTAGCCACACTTTTGGCATCCACTTCCAAATAATTCATACTTCCTGGATAACCTTCACATGTTCGTGTTCCATAATCCAGATATATGCCAAATCGTAGATTTTTAGAATGTAAATATTGTCCAACACTTTTAATACCCTACAAATGAAGCATAACATATAGATTATGAAATTGTGAAACCATCCAAATGGCAATAGAAATCAAACTATAATTCTTCATGATTTCGCTTCTTTAATAATATGCACAAAACTATTCTTGGACCCCGATGAGTTAAGACCAATGTGAGTGATTGAAGGTTAATGAAACTTCTAGCCGCATAATCTGCAGTTTGTTTGCACTTTTCAATAAATCGTGCTCATTGACACAGCACAAGTATAAGATAACAATGGCATTACACAATGAGGACTGCCGACCATTGAACGACTAGTGCTAAATTTCAGTCTTGTGTGAACTGCCAAGTATTGATTTCTGATTCGATTAACCCATTAGTACGTATTTATGTACAATCTCAAATTCAAAGCTCTAGACATATATGTTTTAGATATTGTTGTCAGTGTATTGTTAAAGTGAAATTGAGATGGTGAAGAAGATTTGTAGCTCAAGTGGGTGATTTTGATGAAGTTTTGTTCACTGAGCTGAATGATTTGGTCGTGGAGCTTTCAACGTCCTTCTGAAAGACATGTAACCGACGTTTGTGATGATGATGTCGTTCAGAAGGACGATGAAAGCTCCACGACCAAACCATCCAGCTTAGAGAACAAAACTCAAACATAGTAAAAAATTTTAATATTCAAACGAAAAAAAGACACAGATTATGTACTACATTCGAAAGACAACAAGTAACAACTCACGTTAGGAAATCGTTTATTATCTGCAACGATTTCATTAGTCTTAGAATCTCGTTTCCATTCTGGCCAACAATCATCTATTATTACATAACGATAACCCACATCTCTCCAACCATCTAATACTAGTCTATTGGCTGTGCGTTTAATCAATTTCTCACTGATACAACCTTCTGGGTAGTTCAGACAATCAATTTGACATCGAAATCGTTGCCATGTCATCCAACCCATAGGTGGTACGGTAGCCATTCCATTATCCAAACATAACACACATGAGGAAGTGAGAATAATCGTTTCGAAAACTATCGTTAATATGGCACACCTATATGTAAATGATAAAGGACAAAATACTGACTAGTAAGAAATAAATAATCAATTGAAATGGATAAACAAATGAAGTGTATGTAGTCAAAGTTTATCACACAATAAATGGTCTGTATTTTCATCAGAAAACTGTTGTGTAATTCAATCGTTATATAAGTGTACATCATTATGCATAGATGAACAAACAACTAAATACATATTTATGATTCGTTGTGTGAACAGTTGTAACGTGTATCAAGTGCCGTCGTCTAATCCTACTGGTGTGTTTGGAAATACAAATATCTGATCAATCTACAACTTCAATGGATATGATTTGAGAATCTCAGATTTCAATCAATCAGATAATATATCGCAACCAATTAAATACTTTCCGACTATTTCAATCGAAAGTAATCAGCGTTCCATCGTTGAGTGAAATAGGTGAGTCAAGGTATCGTTTATGAGCTGAAAATGCAAATACTAGAAACAAAAGTGTAAAACTGTGTCGACAAACACTTCATCTAATAGCGATCTTTCTTTTATCAATATAATGAACGGATATTGGGAGACCCATCATTCTCAGACGTAACTTTTTCCAACTGACTATCAGATAGTGTAAAATTATGGGTTGAGAGAAAGGAAAAAGAAGATCTATGAAGTAGTTTCAGTCTTGGATAAATAATGAGTAGTCAAACAAAAGTGGAATGCACTATAACCTGACATTTTGCATCAAATTGGCGACTAAGGTAAAGGTACACAATAATGATGGAAACATAATAAAACTAGAATTACTTATCAAGACGCTGTTTAGTTTACGTAGTTAGTGACATTTTATATGTTAGACATAGTCTATAAGCCTTACAGTTGAAGTTTGGATGCACATCCACCATTCCATAGTATTAGAAACACTAAATGATGTTTTATTGGTTAAGGTAAAAACAAAAAAAATTGACCAGTTGATAAATAACACATTGATTGATATTTCTTCGATAACCATAGAAGTATATTTCCGGTGAAAGTGAAACTAGTGAATGAGAGCCTAGTTAAGATGATTAAACTAAAATCTGATTTTATTGATGAGATCATGAGTCAGTTGGAGCTAGACTACCATGAAAAACCTGGAAGCACTGAACGTCCGTTTTGTCCTATTGTTGTACTCCTCAGTAGTGCGTATCCACGATCCCACCTCTCGGGGTCAAAACAAAGGATCTATCAGCTTCGCACCAGAGCATTTAACTGATAAACCTTTGAGCAGGCGTCCAACGGTGTTAATGTCTAACATCAAACAATCTACGAAATTGCGCGATCATCTTTCATTCTACTGAGGTAGTTAGCTGTCTCTACCAGACATGGATTAGCTCCACTGGTCACGACTTCTCACTAGAACCCTAGGAATTACTTCATGCAGCCAGTCACTAATGGGAATATGATCATTATCAGAAACGAATTTCGTGGAGATTTTGATTCTCTGTCAATAAAGGACTCTGATAGATTATCGTAAGTTAGAATCAGTTATTGGACATTCATTCTATTGAAATCTTTATGCGAGATTTTTTCATGAAATCATTTATCAACAATTACATTCTAAAATCCAGTCGTTTTGAATCTCCTCGATTGATACTTGTCGATATGATGATCACTAGTAAATGACATACATCAACAACTATGTTGCACCGGAATAAACAAGTTTTTAACCCAAATAACAAATTGTAGTTCTCACCGCTTCATTCTCTTCTTATTAAAATTCATCCTTAAATGCTCCACAATATCTATTCACATATATTTGCTGTGCAGCTTGATTTAAAAGTTTGTCTTGCCATTTTCTGTACTTCTAGTACACTAATAAATGAGTAAACCTACTGTTTGTTGCATATTACTTCCTCAATAGGTGGCACTCAAATTGCCCCTTTTCGTCGTAGCACAAGTCGCAAAACAAAGAAATGGTCTGATTTTCTGTACACAGAATAAATAAACCAAATGCAGATAAGTGGGCACGTCTACTGCAACCGCAGCTACTGTGGCAACTAAGTGTGGAATCGAGCATGATTCTAGGTTAGCTAACATCCCATCGAAAAGTATAGATGAGAATTGTTTGCGATTGCATGACCACAAGCACTGGGTTTCTTTATGCTCCACACTATTTATAGAGACACGTTGGTCTACTCTGTTTGACCGCAAACGAAGGCTGTAGCTTAATGAAATTCGACATGGCTTACGTAAGAACTGAGAAGCCTGGTAGTTGGAGCGTGCTAATGAGTTGGAAGCAGCAGCTGCATCTGGTAACTGCCTGGAGCCCATTCATCTCACCCGAACCACTGGCAGCAAGAATTCTGGTGTGAGAGAAACAACCTGTGAGGATGACGGAATGCCAATCATTATCATCGATGGATGTCTTGAACGATGGACAGTGTTTTTAGTGTGGCATTTCAACTGTCCTGCTGTGCCGACAACATCGACCAGACTGTCCTGCCCTCCATAGCCTGTGACGACTGATCCTTTGAATGAGTCGGAAGTCTGCAAGGAACTCCAACACATGAAGCGCTACAAATCTTCGGGCCCTGCGGCTCGTTTTTGAAGATGATGGCTACGTTGTTAATAAAGATTTGAGAGCTAGGGAGTACCTCGAAGTCATGAAATGAGTCCATAGTTGTCCCCACGTTTGTGAAAGAAAGCCACATAGGATTGACTTCTGTCAGTCTTCCACAACTCACCGGTCGGCGTCCTAGAGATGGTGCAACACAGTGGCTAGAGACGTTATCATATATGGCTCAGAATATAAACCAGTGACGATGATGCTTTAACCCTCTTACACTTTCTTTATAAATAATGGCCGTAATCACTTTGACCGAAATGTTTCTTTCTAGTTTTATCTTTCTGTTTCTCCCGTTACTATTATGTTTCCATACATACCATACACTAATTTGTGGTCGTTACTGCCCCCTCTCTTTTATACGCACCTCACACTCTTTTTTTCCTCCTAATCTCATTCTTATTGTGTGACTCATATGTATATGGTTCCCCCTTGTACCAATATTTATGTGTTAAAAAAAATTAACAAATATATATAAGCTGTAGGTCAGGTTGTTTTTGGTTTGTTAACCGGGCTTGGAAGAACGCATTCTCAGCACTTTGGGAATTGGTTGGCACACTCAGTTCGGTTGTTTTGGATTTGATGTAAACTGCCCTGACCATCTGAGAACTAGAAAAGGTCTCCTATTACTTGCAACATCTATATATGACCCACTTGGTTTTTTAGCACCTCTATTACTTACGATCAGACAGACTCTGCAACAGCTGCTTTATAAAACTGCGGACAAGATAAAACTATTATTGAATGTCTGAGCTAAAATTTTGAAACTTGGTTGGAAAGAATGACGGCAGTGAAAACCCTAAGAATATCACGAAGATGAAGTGTTGAGCTGCGTGGTAATAGACCGATATCTGGTGCTTGAGAAAGTGGTTATGAAGCCGTAGCTTATATGAGACTGGAGTATGATGCAAGTACAACAAGATGTTTCATCCTGAGAAAATCTAAAATAGCTCCTCTAAAGCTTGTTCGTGTTCCACACCTCGAACTACAAGGCCCAGCACTGTCAGTGAAGTTGATGAGACGTATAGTGGAAGAAATAGGGCTGAAATTCACCGTTCGACTGACGTGATGGGAAGATCTATTTTGTATATAAACGATGATAATGACGCTGATGAACTTGGAAGGCATCTCACTCATCAGTCTGTTGTTCTTCGCGCAGCTAGTAAATATGAGCAGATTCAGAGGAAAAGGAGCATAGAGGTGACTGAACAAGAGGAAACCTCACTCTTAAAAGTAAAACAAATTGATACTTCTGAACGCGTCAACAACGATGCCATAAATAAACTTATCGATCATACAACAGAAAATGGATGTGTTACATTTCTTCGGTTGCTGTAGGCATCATTATCGGTAAATATCATTTCTCCTGCAATCAAATCCATTGATAATCTTGTCATCGGTACTGATGAACAAACACAGGCTATTCTGGATGCTGGTTTGTCAACGTATATTCCTGCATTGTTAAACAATGAAAAGTCCACAGTGATTAGAGAAGTCCGTCAGGTGGTGAGTAGCATTACGACGGAAAGTGTAGATCAAATTTATATAGTTATGTCGGAACACTGTCTCATTCATCTTGGAGATCTTTTGCAAGGGTGAATCCAGAACTCAAAATGAAGGCTACTGGATTATCAATAAATGGATTAGAGGTGGGACTCCGGCACAGTGTGTGTGTTTGTCGAACCAAAATGTTTTTAAGGCACTATGCAATATACTCACAGTCGATGTTAATACTTTTGATCCCAGAAGGTATAAGAAACCTTAAAATTTTTCATCAGTATGTTCAATGAAAACCAGCTAACATCGAATAAGTGACGCGTGGAGTCTCGGATTATCATGTTGATTGTACCAGTAATCACCAAATATTTCAACGTTCAGGTGTTTGTTTGCTGGATATATCAGCAGGCCAAGAAAATGAATGGGATACATTTGCATTGAATTATCATGTCGATGGTACATTGGCTATAATGAATACCGACAGTTGTCATTTTACGCCACCAAGTTGAGGTTTGTGACTAATTTTTCTGTATTATTCAGTGTAGAACCGCTGTTTTAGACAAATCGTTGTGTATCTCATTTGGATGATTTAGACGTTCTGATAGACTCAACAGAATCGATTAGTCGACAAAACATACAATGTGAAATAGTTTATCTATCCAATTAGCATTGTAATCTTCCACTCATACTGGGGTCAGTAATGGGCACAAAACTGTTGAGCTTAAATTTATTGAACAGCCATCGAAAAGTGGCATTATCAACTGAACTTAACGAATGAAACATAGGCTCCGATGTTTTATACATTCCTCCGACTTGCATTACGATAGTCGTCAATGAAAACCTTTATTCATAAATGTAAATTGACTCGATAAGCGGATAATTTTTATGTATACATTTGCAGATGGTTAAATGTATGGACAGAATTTTGTCATTTTTGCATGTTTAATGAGTTCATTCAGGTTGTTTTCCTCATTACTGCCATTTCAATATAGTTGTGAAGACAAATTAATCGTATGAAAGTGAAACAGGCGGACATGCTACACAGCCGTGAGACAAACGATAAATAATTAAAGATCAATACACCGCAGACAAGATTTCAACGTTTATCGATTGACAGTGGAAATGATGTCAACAATTTGAAAATAAGCAACGTTATATGAGCTGACCATATGAAATAATATTGGACTTGATCTATGTCCAATCATGGGCATAACTGGTGACAAATGAAAATGTGGAGTTTTGAACATTCATGATGAGTACTACAAGACTGGCGGAAATCAGATGATTTGATTAGGGATGAAAGCATGTTTAACTTGGTGTAAACCATGATAATCAAGTGTGATAAGAGGTGTAAAGATCATTCGGGAATTACATTCACAACAAGAGTTACACACTTTTAATTTATTGTAGTGAATTATATTGTAGTGAACAAAACACTGTTTGGTGACAATTGAATGCATTTAAGCACAAAATTACAGACTATCTCACTAAATTCTGATCACCATACAGTGAACAGTTAATTTGCAAACTATCAATCAATTGTCTCAATCTTCACTGTTCCTTCTGTAAATATCAGTCCATCTTCTCTATTCCATTGTTCATGTATTTTCCTATCAATTGCGCTTCATTTTAGTCCTTTCCTTATCGATCTTCTGCCAAAATACATTCTATCCCTGACCATCATCATATAATACTGATGTGGATATAAGTAGATCACACCACAATATATTGATTATTTTTTGTTGGTTAAATCGTCTAATTGATACTTGATAATATGAATGTTACTTGACTACAATAATGGTTATTAACTGCCCTATATTAACTATACACCCCCTTTCATCATTTGTCATATATATATAACCATTCAATAATCAATAATTAAAACTGTATTATTGTCATCCACTTCATTTGTTATTATTTCCGTCAATCAATTAACATAATGATCATGACCCATTATGATGGAATGAAAATGGTTTTCATTCTAATTGATTTAACTAGACAATCAATGTAACCAGATCATTTGACAAACTAACAAATCGTATGGTATTACCAGTCAAACGAATCACAACATTGTGCATCATAATTCATTAGTATATATATAGGAATGTGTTCGCAATCTAAATCATTGGGTTATTCAAGTAGAATGTAAGTGTTGTTACATAACAGTTTTATAATATGTCAATGTGAATTTTGAGGAAATGGTTTGACTTTTATAATGTATGACAAAACATTTGGATTTGAATATGAATATGAATGTTTGCATTGGAAGTGTCTACTGAAGTATGTGGTATAATTGTGGTGAGTGGAGTGATTAAAGCTTGTCCAGATTGCAATAAGTCTATACGTTTATATAAACATTCTCATTCCTTACAAACTAGGATGTCTATGAATGTTCAAGGAATAAAATTTTATGTTTCTGACGGCTGACAGTGTAGGAGATTGTGTTGGGTTAGTGATATTGTAATCACTCGAGAATAAGTTAATTGCACATTGTATCCGAAACTTCTTTAATCCGGTGCAACATAGTTGTTGATGTATGTCATTTACTAGTGATCATCATACCGACAAGTACCAATCGAGGAGATTCAAAACGATTGGATTTTAGAAGGTAATTGTTGATAAATGATTTCATGAAAAAAATCTCGCATAAAGATTTCAATAGAATGAATGTCTTATAACTGATACAATGGAAGATGGTCGGGCAATTTCGTAGATTGGTTGATGTTTCATTCACACCGCTGGATACCAGCTCAGCGGTCTTTCGGTTAAGTGCTCTGGCGCCAGACTGGTAGGTCCTAGGTTCGAGTCTCGCGGGGCGGGATCGTGGATACGCACTGCTGAGGAGTCCCACGATAGGACAAAACGGCCGTCCAGTGTTCCCATGGTGGTCTAGCTTTAATGGACTAATGATCTCATGATAAGTAATAGTAGTTTTGCAATATTATCATTATTATTATGTCCCCAATCTTTGCTCGTCAACTTGTCTAAAAATTTGAAGCTTGTATGGCATTACACTTTTGTTTGATTATTCACTGTTTATCCAACACTGAATCTACTTCATGAATCTTCTTTCCCCTTCCCCTCAACTCATAAGATTACACTATCTGATATTCAGTTGTAAGATGTAACGTCTGAGAATGCTGGCTCTCTCAATATTCGTTCTTCATATCTATAATAGAAATATCACTATTAGATGGAATGTGTGTCGACATGGTCTTGAAATAATTACAATTCCCTTTCGAGTACTTGCATTTTCAGAGCATGAACGATGCCTCAACTCACCATTTTCACTGAAAGTATTCGAATAAATGAGAAATATTCTCTGATTGATTGAAATCTGAGATTCTCAAATCATATCCATTGAAGTTGTAGATTGATCAGATATTTGTATTTCCAAACACACCAGTAGGATTAGACGACGGCACTTGATGCACGTTACAACTGTTCACACAACGAATCATAAATATGTATTTAGTTGTTTGTTCATCTATGCATAATGATGTACACTTATATAACGATTGAATTACACAACAGTTTTCTGAAGAAAATACAGACCATTTATTGTGTGATAAACTTTGACTACATACACTTCATTTGTTTATCCATTTCAATTGATTATTTATTTCTTACTAGTCAGTATTTTGTCCTTTATCATTTACTTATAGGTGTGCCATATTAACGATAGTTTTCGAAACGATTATTCTCACTTCCTCATGTGTGTTATGTTTGGATAATGGAATGGCTACCGTACCACCTATGGGTTGGATGACATGGCAACGATTTCGATGTCAAATTGATTGTCTGAACTACCCAGAAGGTTGTATCAGTGAGAAATTGATTAAACGCACAGCCAATAGACTAGTATTAGATGGTTGGAGAGATGTGGGTTATCGTTATGTAATAATAGATGATTGTTGGCCAGAATGGAAACGAGATTCTAAGACTAATGAAATCGTTGCAGATAATAAACGATTTCCTAACGTGAGTTGTTACTTGTTGTCTTTCGAATGTAGTACATAATCTGTGTCTTTTTTTCGTTTGAATATTAAAATTTTTTACTATGTTTGAGTTTTGTTCTCTGAGCTGGATGGTTTGGTCGTGGAGCTTTCATCGTCCTTCTGAACGACATCATCATCACAAACGTCGGTTACATGTCTTTCAGAAGGACGTTGAAAGCTCCACGACCAAATCATTCAGCTCAGTGAACAAAACTTCATCAAAATCACCCACTTGAGCTACAAATCTTCTTCACCATCTCAATTTCACTTTAACAATACACTGACAACAATATCTAAAACATATATGTCTAGAGCTTTGAATTTGAGATTGTACATAAATACGTACTAATGGGTTAATCGAATCAGAAATCAATACTTGGCAGTTCACACAAGACTGAAATTTAGCACTAGTCGTTCAATGGTCGGCAGTCCTCATTGTGTAATGCCATTGTTATCTTATACTTGTGCTGTGTCAATGAGCACGATTTATTGAAAAGTGCAAACAAACTGCAGATTATGCGGCTAGAAGTTTCATTAACCTTCAATCACTCACATTGGTCTTAACTCATCGGGGTCCAAGAATAGTTTTGTGCATATTATTAAAGAAGCGAAATCATGAAGAATTATAGTTTGATTTCTATTGCCATTTGGATGGTTTCACAATTTCATAATCTATATGTTATGCTTCATTTGTAGGGTATTAAAAGTGTTGGACAATATTTACATTCTAAAAATCTACGATTTGGCATATATCTGGATTATGGAACACGAACATGTGAAGGTTATCCAGGAAGTATGAATTATTTGGAAGTGGATGCCAAAAGTGTGGCTAAATGGGAAGCTGATTATGTAAAGATGGATGGATGCAATAGTCCAGAAAACATTATGTCAGATGGTTATGGAAAGTTTTCTAAATTATTGAATGCAACCGGTAGACCAATAGTGTTCTCATGCAGTTATCCTGCTTACATTTCTTGGATGAAAAATACTAGTTTAATTGACTGGAAGAAATTGCAGAACAATTGTAATCTATGGCGTATGCTGGGCGACGTTCAAGATAGTTGGTCATCGGTTATCAGTATTATAAATGCATATAAACTCCAAAATGCTGTGTTACCGAAATTGGCTGGTCCAGGACACTGGAATGATCCTGATATGCTGTTGATGGGCAATTTTGGTCTTTCAGATGATCAGAAACGAGTGCAAATGGGTATGTGGTGCATGTTTGCTGCCCCACTACTGATCTCAGCTGACATGGACAAGTTGGATAATTTCAGTGTATCTCTATTAAGTAATGCACGTTTATTGGCGATAGATCAAGATAAAGGTGGACATCAGGCGGAATTCGTCAAATCACGAAATGATGTACAGGTGCGTTTATCACACTATTGTACAATTGAATTTTAATACTGCAGTGTATGATGTTAGGAAGATGAAACTTTTTTAGAATAGATAAGATTTTAAGGTTGAAATATTAACTCAAAATCAACCAAGACTTGATTAATCAATGTATCGTATTTTCAGTTGTGTCGTTCAAACATTCTATCTGCCTAATACAGTCAAAATAATAAGGAAGCAGATTAAAAATATAATTCGGCAGTAGTCCTTTCTTTTAAAAAATTTTTACGTACTGTAAATGGTTTGAATGTTCATGCTTATTTCTATCGTGAAAGAGAGTGAACTCTACATTAATTGTCTATGATCACAATCAATGGACCATTACATCTACTTCATGAATGACCATTACGTTATAGACAAAGGACAACATCAATTAGCAAAAGGTCCGAAATGCTGATATTTAAAAGTGTAGGTTGCGCTGTGACACAAAGAAACGAGAGCTCTTCACTTAATTTGATAGACATAACACATGAAATACTAAAGCAAGGTGTAGACCATGATTTTGAGGTACATTTTTTCACTACACAGTACCATAGCTCGACTGTAAGTCAGTAAAAATATCAATAAAGCTTGTTTCGCAATATATGCTCTCAATGTCTACTGTTTACTGATAATCAGTGGGAAATTGTTGAATAATTTTTCATGCTTGTTCGGACTTATCAGTAAAATAAGCCTGTGATCTTCTTTGGAGCAACAATCCTCAATAGACTTAAACGGACATCTAAAAGTGGGACCATCAGAGGACTAATCTGAAGCAGAGATGGATGGTGCGTAACAGCGAAATCCGGAATCCGCGTATAGTCCCATTTATGACCCATTATCTGGATGATCCTGTATCACAATTTGATGTTCATCAATTACTTAGAACACAGAACCTTTTACTTCAAACGCCTACGAGTTACGACATTGAGTCCAGATAGCCACTAGCTTATGCAATAGGATATTTTTTAATTTTATCTCATATATATGTTTATGTCGATTGTTGAAATCCTCCAATTAATACTTCAAATTAACTTGAAATTTATAGCGAGTGGCGATAAAATTTGTATACAAGTAAATGCAGCTGACGAGTTACGAATTGAATAGAACTCGCGTGATCATCTACACTGTTTTCCATCATACACTGCTATTTATAAAACTTATAAATCACTGACAACTTCAGGACGATTCACATAGGATGCACATCTAAGAAAACAGACTGATCAACTGTAACCGTAAACATTAATGTAAAGTTCCAAACAACTAATATATATAAATGGATTAAGAGAGTTCATCAATGCATATCACTGAATGATCCAAGGTGTGCGACTCTGCAATAATCAATCACATCTAACCGACATCAAAATCTAAAGTAATTAGTCTTTTTGATAAATTAGAAGATGAAGATTATCAGAAGTATGTGATAGTGTGATAACATGTTACATAGTCCTCATTATCTTCATCTTCTTATTACACTATTGGAAAACATCAAATTCACCACAGTGTCATTCCTGATTACATAAACGATCGTTCATATCACAACTAGATCAACGTGTTTTAATCCACAATAAGACGATAGACAATGGACGAAGACGGAGTACTGATTGTTTCATAGTGTACTGGATACAGTTTTGAAAGAGTTCACTCTCGATAACAAATTATCGAAATCCACGTTGATATTCTGTCCACGATTTTGTTTCGATTTCGAAAGTGGGCAATTGTCTCAAACTATTAGATACGTTTGTAAACGACGCAGTTTTCATCATTCAGGAACACTATGTTGTGTTTCATTTGATGTCCTCTTCAAATGTCGTGAGGTGAATAAAAGTGTTTATAATTCTGTTTACTTAATTACGTGAGTGAATCTTTTCCGTTTGTTGGAATGTTCCTTCCCATATAGATGTGGTTGAGACCGTTAGATGGAGATCCAATTGGTTGGGCAATCGCTTGTCTTTTCACGACTGATGGTGGTGGACCGATTCACTTTTACACAAGTCTTGATGAATTCAAATCACAATCGTATAGGATATCTGGTGATAAGTTTGAATTGGTGGATGTGTTCAGTGGGGACAGATTTCAAGTGGTTCAACGAACACAGAAATTTATGATTTCTATCAATCCAAGCGGGATAATGATGTATCGAGTTAGACGTGTTCAACAGAAGACTGTTGCTGAAGAAATTGATGGACTATTTCAGACATTGTTATCGCCTTAAATAATCCACTTGATTACTTAAATATCCTATGAAATGAACAGTTGTTCATTGAAATAATTATTTTAATACATAGTGTTTCAAATGTCGACGCATTCAGTCACTTATCTCATAGATGTGTTGTGGTTTTGTTTCAATTGAAGCAGTTTCTTCGATGCAAAATACAGTCGATATTTCAGGAATGTTGTGAAATGATCGCTGAAACTAAAGACATGGGTCAGTGAGCCATGGACTTAATGGTTGACCTCACATGAACTGAGATCATGTGAAAATGTTAATTAGACAGTAGTAGATGACTTTACGGAAGCATCATGTTGTATTGGATGAGTAATGAAGTCATCTAGACCATTATTGATAAAAGTAATCATGTGTTGATTTTATTCATGATTTCTTGTTTGTCTATAATTTCACTCATCCGTGAGGTATTGCACCATGTCTATCTGTGCTTGAACGTGCTGAAGAATATTGATCGACTGAACGGTAGCTGGGTTCTAGTCAAAATGTTTCTTCAGTGTGTTCTGTCTACCGTTCTAGCAATGTGGAGTGCATTTGTATATATGATGGTGTATGATTAGTTAGAGTGAGAATAAATGACTTTATAGAACAACTGAAAGCAATGAGAAGAAATTGTAAGAGTTATTCATCAGAAATTCGTGCCACTTTGTGTTAAACAGATGCCGAATCATCTGTGTTGATTTAGTCTTTTGTTATTGTTGGTCATATGTCGGTCTCGAGATGATCGGACATGAATAATCTTTCACTAACTCGAATGATTCTCCAAGACTATGTTGATGAGAAATGACGATTGATTTTTAAAATTATTGTATTGACACTAACAAAACTGATTCTGTCTTGTTTTCAGCAATAATCGGTGGTGACTCACTTTGTTTGTGCGATCAGTAGATAAGTGTAGTGAGTGTTGAAATCTAAATAAAGGAAACATGTGGATTCGTGGGCTGTTGTTGCTATCTACATCACAGAAGTATCAATTCACTTATATAAAACAATTCAGCTGTTGTAAGTCGTTAGTCAAGTTAAACAGAATTGTGATATTTTCACTAAATATACATTGGAGTAACATAGAAACTGTGCGAGAGTTCAATGGAATTCCACGAAGAGCAGAAGTAGGTACATCATCATAATAATCATTAATGTATACAGCTATCATCGTTGTATTTCGCCGTTAATGTAACATCTCAATCAAAAGCATAAAGATGGGATAGTGAGTACTGTTTGGGACTCAATTAATTCGTAAAACCGTACTGAGATGATGGGTGAAACGGTTTTCCAATTGAACATCTATATTTTATGGTTTACTAAAATTGATAAGTCAATACTCGATTAAATTCGTCGAGATCAACTTGAGTTGAACACTAGCTAGGCATCTGGCTAGGTAGTCTATATCTATAAAAATGTCTGTGAACACTGGATCACTAGATAATCTAACAGATGTATAAATTTCACATGTATATCTTCATAATCTATCATCACATTGTTTTAAGTCAAAACAATTATGACTTCTTTGTATACACATCATGCATTTCAATCACGGAATCGACAAGCTGAACATTTTTGAACTGTACAGATGAATTAGTGGTAGTGTAGCGAATAAGAACGCGTCCGAGGACAATCGAATGTATTCGAGCACAACATTACAGAATATCTCAATAAAATATGAGAACCATATAGTGAACATTTAATTTGCAAAATAAATCCCGTTCTCTCTTTATCGATCTTCTACTGAAATACATTCAAATCCCCGACCGTCACCATATACTACTTATATAGGCATAAGTAGACCACACCACAGTAGATCGAAAACTCTTCAAGCATTGATGTGTTCTTGTAAATGTTATAAACTGTTTGAAATCGATGTTGTCGAAATGAAGATGATTCATGAGTAACACACATATTCTCAACGATAACCATAAAATATTTGATATCCTAATACGCGTCTAATAGTTCTCTAATAAAGTTACGAAATCATGATTGCAATACCACAATCTGTACTTCTCACACCGTAGCTCTAATTGATGGACATTAAAATCAATATCAAGCGTTTATTTCGCCATATTTTCATTTTACTAAGCAGGTCGATAGGTTATTTCAAGGGTGAAATGTAAACGAATAGGTCTTTATCTGACTTTCAAACAAATTTCCTGATGCGTACGTGCGTCTTGAACGTGACCAATTTGTCAGTGAAATGTCTCGTCAGTATGAGTACACAATACTGTCTTGTAAGACAAATTAGAAGGCAGTAGAAAATTTCTCAAAATTGTCCAAATCGAATTCACTTGATATAGTTTACTTGAATCTTCCCATTGATGTTTAGGATTGCAATTGATCAGTCTCTCTTATTGGCATGTGTGTATATGCACAAAGCGACCCTATAAACTTCAAGCACAAAGTGGAAGATACGTCGACATATTTGTGATATGTGAGGCAACAATGTAGATAGAACACACATGTATGTGCAAATAAGTTTGACATAAAGAAGTAACTAGTGTAATTCAAACGTATCGATTGAAAGAAAATCACCTATTTCGAAATGGTGTGGTAGGTCTGTAACTCAGGTGAATGCTTATGTAATATTTTCTTCACTGAGCTGGATGGTTTGGTCGTGGATCTTTCATTGTTATTCTGAACAACAAAATCACCACAAGCTTCAGGTAGAATTGATGTGTTCGAATTTCTCCACATATGGCTCACAGTTTGTCTAGTCGAACTCCATGTTCATCGATTATTGTTGAACCTTAACCTGTCATTGTTTAATTCTTCATTTTGATTGTATCTCCCATAATTTGACTCATGGTCCTATATTTGTTCATAATTTTTCTGATCGATTGATAAATTGAATCGATTTCAATGTGTTTGTTGATTGCTGATTGATCTGAGTGCCAAGCTCCTAAAAATTCTCTGGTCTCTTTACAATTACCTCTATCCAACTTCCCAACATATTCGCAGTCAGACTTGTGTTCACAGTTGTCCACATTTATTGATATAAGTGAGGATATGTCAAAAAGCTTGATTGCGATTTGATATCTGTGCAGGCGAAAAAGAAGAGGGCGTCCACTTTGTCTGAAGTAGTGTTTTTGCTGTTGGAACAATTTAACTTGTAGATGATATTCGGTTTTTCTTCTTTTGACATTTCGTTCATTCGTTTGACTGATTGAAGTGACTTTTTTGGTTTATGTGCTACATTTATTCCGAGAAACTTCGTTATTCTTGTTGTGATTTCTGATACATTGATCAGTACGAAGTTCATTTTATTTCAATATGACATGTATACACAATGACATTCTGTTTATTACTAGTTCAGTGTTAATTTCGTCGAGTAAAAAACACCTAGCAACGTATTTTGTGTGAGATGTTTTTCAGTGCTCCTCTCAGTTATGCTGTTTTTAATGATCGTTAAGTTAATATCAAACATCGGTTAACTAGGTAAAAGTAGTATGTTTATTCTGACTGAAGTATCGTTTTATTTAACAGATTGTGATTAAGATCTCTACATATAATCATCATGTCAATTTCATGATATTCCTGTGACACGTATCACTTTTCAAATAATTCGCATCATTGCCAAGATCCATTTTGACATCATAAAGGTCGTGCAGTTCATATATGAATCGTCACCCATAAAATGATGAAGGTTATACTCGATATAAATGTGAAGTCCAGTATGTTTTCGAAACTGTTGATTCCGTGTTTTTGGAGTTTTCAAAGATAGCAGGAATATGTTTTGAGCACGGCCCTTCTAATAGAAACGCATCCTTAGAGTTCAGTTGAAACTAAGTGCATGCATATTAGTCCCTATTTATTATTGTTGGTCTGCATTTGTTCTTCTGTGATAATGCGTATATGCATATTATGCATTGCAACTAATCAAAACATTGACACTAGTGTTTCAAATATGTATGTTCGATGTTTAGATCTTAAGATTTATATGACGGATTCCGATTGAAATAGAAACTGTAATGTTTGGTTTGCATGGTGAAAGATAATTCGTGTCATGCTGACCGGTTTTAAATGTTCTTTGATAACTATATGCTGGTATGAAGATACTGAGCCGATGATCAGTCAACTTTTTAACGTTACATTTGATACAAATTACTGAGTAACATGACTATGACTTTAGTCCAGTTACCGACTTATATGTCAGGTTCGTAGACAACTATCTTTAACTGCAGTGTGTAAAGTATGTGGCGTAGTATACCTCAAGTACTCACACGGTTACCTTGTTTAAATTTTATTATACAACTGTATGCAATATTAAGTATCATTCTTTGATTTCTTTTGACGGTCAATAAAAGAGTACAAATGATTATGTGGTGATTATGTTTGCTGCTCCACTACTGGTCACAACTGACATAGACAAGCTGGATGATTTCAGTGTATCCCTGTTACGTAATAATGCACTTTTATTGGCTATGGATCAGGATAAAAGTGAACATCATTGGGAACTCGTTAAATCTTCAGATGACTCATAGGTGAGCTGCTTGCATTGTTATTTAGATTAGTTTATAAATTTCTGAAATATTTTCAATTTTTGCTGACATCTGCAGAGATATGCACATTAAAACTTATGGAAACTGTCATCATCAGTATCATACTTTATTACTTGACTTGTTTTATTTTCGTCTTCTTCGTAGTTTCATTGCGAAATATACCAATAATCATAACAGGTAACTGTTTTTGAAAATTAATAACTACTAGGTGTTTGCTTTTTAAGTACTCGTTTTGGTTTAGACGTCTGGCCAAAATGTTCCGTTGTTTGCATAATGTTTTACATATTGACAGTATATTTGCATAAATGCTTGTAGTGGCATTGTTTCCTAACCACATGGTCTTTGGAGCTAAGCATATTATGACTGAAAAGATGTATATTCGATATGCAACACGCGAAGAAGTTAGGCAGTGGTAGACGTGAGAACATTCATTCAATCGGACGGCATGGCTTAGTCTTGAAGACGTGCTCATTATGTTTGACTTACTTATGTTCATATCAAATACATTATTCTATCTCCAGCATAAATGTGCTCTTCAGAAGTACTAAGTATCATTGTTGATGGTCACGATACGATGAGCCAGTGTAAACAGTGATGCGACTTCCACGTAAAATCTTACAGATTGGGAAATCACATGAAAAATTTACTGCTTTCGGATCAAGTCTATTGTCAAAGTAGTATTAGTACCTGACTTAACTATAACTATTCATGCTAACAAGGACTGTGATGCAAAAAATGGTCCAGTTGTTATATTTATATTTAGATAATTCATTAGATGAATAAACGTGGCAGTAGTCAGTATAAAATACAGCTATCAGCCAATGCATGAACTCTGCCATTACAAACACTTTGAGAAAAAACGAATGAAATCCATGAATTCATAAACTTATAAAATGTAGTTGACAATCTTTGATAGTGCGACTTGCTTCGAAATTAGTGATGTTTGTCGGAACTATCGTCCGGCATCTCTTCTTGTATAAGAATCTTAAGACTAGTCTAACCGGTAGTCGATAATAAAGGGATGTGAAGATATAGCTGGATGATGGTCGATTCGCTCAGGTGTATGTAATCTAAGATGACTAATCATCATGAGGTGCACAGCGTGGCGTACTCGAACTTGATCGTTTATGGGTGTTTGACCAAAGGTTATTGAGTCTTACTGAGAAAGAGTTTTTTCTTTCCGAATTCGACTTCTGTGTGGATTGCAAAACTATCCTGAAAGTCCCTGAGGGAAATTTAAGCTAAGTCACTGGAAAAATGATGAACGGGTGAACACTTCAGAGTCTCAGTGGCTTTTCAAAGCAACATGATTCCTTTGATAGATGGAGTAGATAGAGCTCACGATGAAATGATTTCGTTAGAGTGAACTGTAAGACATTTATATTGAAAAAATATCTCAACCTATTTCAAAATGCATGATTATCTGCAATTGTTTAGGGGAAATGCATCAACAGAAGCATGAACGCGCTGGAGACGGATCCACGTCTCACATTTTTACTAACCCATCTGGAAATCTTTTCCGCTGGATCATTCTTTAGTTTCTCTAGGTTTTAGTCGACGGAAACGATACTTGTGGTCGCTAACTGTTTGGTTGTACCACACGTTATGAGCTTGTGTACGTTTATGAAATCCAGGTTACACAACTTTATGAACACTGTGTATGAACCTGTTCAGTAAATATTATTTAAACTGTTCAACCGCTTCAAGAATTGCCTACAAGGCAGGCTACTACGAAGCCATTTGAACGAGTAACTATGCCGAATGTCCGCCGATTTCACCACGGTAAATTTGTTTAACAGCTAAAAGAAATATATTTTCGGTGTACTGGCTACGTGTCTCATGAAAAATATCTTTGTGCGCAGAAAAATCTATCTTCTACATGGTTTTAACAGCTACATATATCAAGACCATTAGACACTTATCCTCCCCTTCCAAGTTCTAATTCGTTGAAGCGTTTTTAAGTAGACTTTAATGTAGGACAGCTAGGAACATCAATACCTTGGTCGTTCTTGTTAAAAGTGATTGGAATTTTGATCTATTACAAAGGTCTATTCATAGAACTTAAGGTGTCATGCATAAGTTAAACGATATTCAAAAGTTGTAAAATAGCAATAAACCTGATGGTGGATACTGTTACAAATATGCGACATATGTGAAATGAATATGTAAAGTCTTTTGGAAATGGTTATAAAGAATGATCGGTAAACAATATCCATCCCCATGATGAATCATGACAACATATCGTTTAGTCTCTAAGAGCAAAACGTGCATTTAATGATAAATAATAACCAAACTTGAATTAGTTTTACGGTGGATTTGAACTGTTTGGCGTTTGATTAGCTCAAATGGTGATAACAATTTTGACCGACCATCCTCTCAAACAGGGCACAACTACGAGGAAATATTCTTGCCCATTGTAATGAAACGCGAAACACTGGAGCTTCAACTTCATATGTAGCCATAAAGTTGAAAGGAATAGATCTGATCCAGGAACACGGAAAGATAGAAGGTCATTCGAAGTCAAGCTGACGAAAAACATCCGAGCGAATTCTTGATATCCCTACCTGTTCATAATTACTAGTTTGATCATAAGGTCGTAGTGCTACCAGAGGATTAATTTAGAATGCTCTACAAGCTTTTAAGTAACAGAGATCTTAAAAATCTGGTCGCTCATACTACCAAACCAAGTATATGCACAAGAAAGAAATCTTACAATCCGAGAAGAAGAAAGACAAGTCGTTCTTTTCCATTCCTTAAAGAAGGGAAAAGATTTAGAATGTAGATATTTTGTCGCACTATTCTTAATATTGGTCATAGCTTTGGAAGGCTTGCTTTTCTATCGAATGAGGAAGTGCATAGAGAAAAGGTTTTGTGAAGCTTAGCACAAGGTTAGAAGAGGTAAATCGTAAACATCTTGCTTCCTAGAATTGCAAAAATCGAAAAATTGCTGAATCTGGAAATTCCTGTATCATATTATATTTTTGGACTCCATTAGAGCTTCCCATTGAGAATACCACACTCCTCATAATATAGGTTGAGAGACTGCGTTTCACCTGACTACTCTTATACTGGATCTAATTTTACTTGAGAGGCCTGAATTTTTACATCAAGGTTATCAAAGTTTGTGTGAACTGAAGGCTCTCAAGACCTAAAATTTCACTAAGCACATTCCACGATCCCTCCAGTTTGAGATTTTTACACTTGATCTCGTGTATAAATGAGCTCATTTATGCTTGCGGTGTCGAAGCCGTAGGAGTCATTCAATGTGTAGTGGACTCAGGGAGCTTTTATTAGGAAGATTACAGCTTACTATTCAAGCTGTCCACTACTACATAATACATAAGTGACTAGGTTAATAGTAATCATTCTCTCCTATTTAACCCTATAGGGTGCGATCTAGGCCCGATAAATACAGAAAACCTAATAATCAATTGTAATCTAACCTCAGTCATGCAATATTACGGTTGCTGCCTGAACTGCTCGATGATAAAGCCTTTGATTGTGAAGTTGAGTGACTACATCGAATCTCTCATATTTCGTCAGTTCCTTTATTTTCATTGTTATTATTAGTATGATCATCGATACTGTTACCTTGTTTTTGAACAGTACGAAACCTAGACCCAACAGGGTTTTTTATTGACTACGTTCAACATGTCTAAGCAACGTGCGTGAGGTTGATTCACTTAGATTTCAATCAGCACTATCGACTAATCATACATAACATTGTTTAGACTGTTTCGCCAGGCAATGCTACGTGTTTGGCTCAAATTAAATTTGGACGTATACCAAATCAGTCTACAACGCTTCGTTAATCTACTAATTTAATCAACAAATTTCAATTACTTTGGAGCAAGAGTTACCCAGGTTCTTGCCTGGAGGTATTGGTGATCCACTGCTACCAGACACGGAAGCCCGTTAAGTGAAAGCTTCTTCTTTATTCCGTCTTCAACCATTTGAACCATTTGAACTGCAGATTGATGAATCAGCTCTGGATATTAATCCATTGGGGGCAACTGCAGCGACGAAACCAAGGAATAAACTTTAGTATGATCTGCTTCATTCCTTGGGATTATTGTTAGTGTTAATAAATAGTGATTTGGTCAGGCCTTAAAAGAAAATGAGTAACATATGGGACCGAAAAACTCTATTCTCTCTGAATGCCGGCGTTTCAATCTAAAAAATTGCACCAAACGACATGTATATCAACCACTTACTACAAAGATAAAGGGTCGAACTTTCTCACAACAGGTTTGTTCTACATGGAACGCCCATGTGACGAATATGAAAAGAAGGACTCTTCGTAGGCCCTTTTGAGTGTAGGCACAGGAATCACGTATTTAATCACTATGAACTTCTCCTACCATGGAACAAGTGTTTAATATAAAGACACCACAAGACAAATTTATTTTACATTCTTTGGTTTCGCTCTACCAAAAATTATGATTTCATTATTTTTATTATAAATATTACAATTAAAGTACTTAAGTAAAACACCTTGAATAACAGTAATACGACAAATTCAATAAATAAAAGCTCCAAAGCGGCTGTAAAAACTTCCAGGACTTGTGCAGGTAAATGGACATCACGTGAATTGAAAATTACTGATAACCTGAAAGCGCACCATACCACTAGGGAGTACGAAGTTCATGGATTTTCCTAGATAGTCACGGTCATATTGGATATCAAAGTCTTGATTTCCTGTAATTTTTAAAGAGTAAGACATATTAACACATGACAAAACATTTTAAGGGACATTGGATCCTTACAGTACTACGTCACATAACATCCTGCCGTTCATATTGAAACTGAAGATGAGACTTTACTCGACTATTCGCTTACCCAGAGTCATAGAATAACAGAAACACAAAATGAATATTATCTATATTAGGCGTTATTGAGGACTGAATTGATGTTTATTTTTATACGGATCACAAGTAAGAAGTTCGAAAAGGTGCGCAACTTTGAAAATGCTTAAGGCTGTATTGTTAGAGGAGAGTGCCATAGATGAGCCCACGGAAGATGAAGTAATGCTGTACGCCGAAAGCTTAGGAATTGATGTTGAAAAAGAACAAGATTTACTTTATATTGCCAAAGAAGGCATTTCTGCACATTTACCGAATGGCTGGCAAGTCCTCAAGGTATCCATATTTTCACCAAATTCTGCCACTTCGAGTTGATTGCTTGATAGCAATAATTTTTATCTTTACTCTTCCAGATTCTTGTTTCCTGTTTTTTTCACACTGTATTTGTGTTTACAAAACTTGCACAGTGTTATTTTCATTTTGGAAATATCAAAGTAATATACAATGGCATCGTCATCCTCATTAGGAATGACCCTAAAGGTTAAGAGCTTCATGTATTATCACTCAAGTGTCATAAGTTTATATGTGTATTAAGATTAACCGAATTCATGCAATTCCTAGAAAAGCACATTTCAAAACCTGTAACGTTTACAACTCTGACAGGTTTTGGTAGCGGTTACTGTCTTTCTGTTCACAATCAGCCTGATGCATCCGTCATAAGTGCAACGGTAATTTACTTGATTAAGCGTTTGAAACAAACCGAAGTTGTGTTTAGATCTTATATCAGTATCTTTAGACACAATTCAGTGGCATGATGATCAGGTTTCGCTGATATCATACAAACGGCAAATTCAGAAAACATCTTAGTCTAAATCTAGCAAACCTCCACGCCAGTGTGTGGAAAGTAGTTATCCCCTCTGATCTGATTAAAAGCTTAAGTCTGTGAGCCACTTTTAGTAATTAAATAATTACGGAACTGATTATTTTTCAGTTTTATTGTAATATCAATGTGTTATCCACGTGTCAAAATAATATGAACCATTGTTTTCTGAAGATTCCATTTTCAATCAAGTTAACCAGATATACGGACTAGGTATTCCCAAATAATCTTTTCAGTACTATTCATCACTATTGAAGTGATATTTACGTTGACCGAAAACTTCATAACCAGCAATTCACATATACTAAACTAAAGTAATTTGTATCTAATTATTTTTCCTCATAGGATGAAAACAATCAAATATTTTACTATGATACTGCATCTGGCATTAGTTTATGGGAGCATCCATTAGATAGACACTTTCGAGATTGTGTTGTTAAAGCTCGTCAAAAGAAACAAGATGCCATTGATACAACAAGTAGTCCTGACAGAATCCCTCATGATAAATCTGTAGAAGCTGGTTGCATCGTGTCAAATAGTTCATCGCGTCCCCTTCCGAAACCATCCACAAACAACAAAGAGGCACCAAAGGGATATACACCAACCCGTTCCAGTCCACATGAAGGTGAGTGTTGTTCTTTTCTGATAGTGTTTCCCATTCGATTTTCTGCACTACGTTTGTAGTACCGCCATTTTGATCAAAACGGAACTATTCAGCAAACGTAAATATACCAGTTCTAAAGGAGATTAGCCGCTGTTGGAGTAGCTCACTGGCAACGCCTCAGACTGTGCTAAGCTGGATAACACAGTTTCTAGTTCTACTGAGAGCAGTTTCCTCATAATTAAAGATGCACATCTGACGAATCCTAATTAGATCAAATCGTAGGCACAACTAAGTTTTCTGCTAATCGCCTCCAACCCCTGAGCCTCAAGACTGTATCCATAAGCTATTAAAAGTTTCCGTTTATATGGGGCTAATAAATGATTTTTCTGTTGGTGAGTCGCTACTGTGAATAAACGTAGCCTCAATTAGCTGAAAAAAACAGGTTATTTCTCCACTAACCGCCCACAGGAAGAATCAACGAGAATTTATGGTTCCCTAAAGCTGAAATTACATTTTGAAGCACCCATGTGTCTGATTTCCCCGAGTTATTGGCTAGATGTAGAAAACACTGAATAAGGTATTTTGAGGATATCTGCCGTATACCTTGACCCTATTTACCAACTAGACTATCACTTATTAGGTAGTATTTCTGTTCATTTCTGTGTTAATTTTACTGCTTCTTTTCTCTATTTCCTGACAATATTGTAGCTTTATTTATGTTTCTCAAATTTTCCCTGCCTTTATTAGGATTTATGTGCCTAAATAAAGTAATTTATGTCTTACTAAATAGGTTAGTTAAATTTCTAACCTCCCGTCAACTGAGACCAGTATATCTCCTCATCCTTAACTATCATGCTTGTAGTTCTAAATACATAATCATCTATTGTGGTTCTTACATTGACAGTGATCGAGTTTTTCTGTAGTGATGATAAACATTAGATGGAACAATAGTTCTTTTGGGTTTTATTATACTAGATAAGTTGGTTGTGATTCATTAAGATTACAAACGGAAAATGTAATGCCCAGGGACGAAGTCATACTACTTATTGCACTGGTGTGTCATCAGTAAGATATTTCTTGTAGATGGTCAGTATGTCCATCCCTATTGCTTCATCCTCACAACGGAAAAAATGTTAAAATGATCGACCTTACAAGTATCCTATCTGCCCTGGATACACAGATTTCCGGTGGTGGGTGAGCAATGGATAACTGTTCACAAAGTTCTTGCATAACCCAACTTAACCTTCCCCTTATCTAGATGTTTCAATATATCAATTGCCGCACACATTATGAAGCTTAAGAGGCCTATCTTTGTTATAATGACTACATTTTCTGATGTAAGGGGACCAGTCATAAAGTGAAGTCATTATTCTGAGTGCTTCATAGGGTTGTGGCGTTCATAGTAAGATCCGTTTATCACTCGTCACATATTTTAGTCTTCCAAATACGAGAGTATGCTGGGATCCCACGATAACTGTAGGGTTGTAAAAATACTGACTTTTAATCATTTAGTTGCAAGTTTGTACGTTGTTCATACTTCAGTTTTAGGATCCAGAGGTATCATCAGCACCAGGTACCCCTCCTGTACACATTTTACTTGGCTAGTTTTTTCTGTCTCACTTTTCCATAATCCAGTTTCAGTACATTTTAAGTTCCTATGACTTCACAATTACATTTTACTCCTGTTCTTCACCTTTCTTAAAGCAGTTTTTTGCATGCGTTTGTGTTAGTGGGAGGAAAAGCTAAGTTAATTTCCGGGTAATATTTCAGTTTCTAGACTAATTCTACAAACTGTAATCTTATATTAGCCCAAACAGGTTATAATAACTGATGATATTAGATGTAAGCTATTTATAATCCTACCTTAAAGATATGTGTATTCAAGTATACAAATGTATTCAATTAACGTAATGTTTATTTGCTATTTTCATAACATATGCATTAAATCTCATTTTTACTCCTCGATAAACTGTCTGTAGGAAAACTGAATACAAATACTTCCAAAAAACTCACAGAAAAACATGGAAACAATAGTCAACTCTCTACCTCTGCTCTTGCTGAACCTCGCTTTCAATGTCCAGTTGTTACTACTAAAGATGATGATCATCTGCCAGTTACAGATGATCCTACTGAATATCTTGAGATAAAATTATCTAGGAACAAAACACATGAGAAATCACTTGTTAATAATCATGAAAAACTTCAACTATCCTCTCGTAAAGACCATCTTTCATCAGAAGGTTTTAAATATTGGTCAGAAATGTATAAAGAAAATTTACGTCAAGCAGATGAAAACCTAACTGTATTACAGTCGAAAATAAGAGAATCTTTATTATTAACTAGCAGTCATAAAAAAACCAATTCAATTCTCTGCAATAATGCAACACCAAATTCACTCAGTAAATACAATCCTACGACAATAACAAAGGATTCACATATTGTAAGCAATTTATCTAGATGTTTCTCATCATCAGATCTTTTAAACATTGTAGATAACAATCAAACATATTGTAAAAGATTAGAGATACTTTCTAGTCCTGTGAAAAAAATTAAAAATACATTTAATGACGATATTTTATGCCCTGAAGTTGGTATATCTCCAACTGCTGTCATTCAAACAGAGTTATCTAATAGAAAAGATAAATATGTTGGCCACGGCGTATCACCTGTAAATGCCAATTCGAAATTATCTTCGTCTATACTTCAGGAAAATATGAAAAATTCTACATATCAGTTCACTCCAGATAGAACGCGTTTAACAGAACAAAATGCCAGTTTAGAAAAATCGACTGATGGAATTCAAGAGGATCAAAGTAATGTGAAGTTAAAGCCCAATAAAAGCCTGATTAATATATCAGAGTGTATTAGTCATTTGGTTGAAGAACGTTCTCGTGTACAAGGCAAATTATTTCGTCTTAAAGTAAGCTATTTTTGATTAATAGAATTATTTCTTACATCCGAGTGACTTTGGAAGACTAAAGACTAGTACTTCATTCTACGATCTTGATTTTCTGTTCACTAGGTCATATTTAATGTGTTTATTTTATTTTATTTAAACACATAAATATTGGTACAAGGAAGCACCAGATAAATATGCTCCTCACAAATCTCATTCGATTTGTGTGAGGGCTGTGTTACTGCCCAGGTGCCCAGACTGAAGCAGGTGGTTTTCTTAGGGGGCCACACCCGGAGCCTTTGACCTGAATGTCTAATCCACAAGGCAGTGGAGCATCGTGAGGAGATGCAAAGAAATGTAAAGAAAATGAGAGAGTTGTTTCGACCTGGTTTACGACCTTGACATGATGGGTTACTTGATATAACTTTGAGGATTGTAACTCATAAATCCGACTTTTGACTGAACAACCTGGAGAGCATTAAGAAATGAAACTCTTGTGAATACCCATTGACTTAACTTGTTGGCGAGTAAGATGAGCGTCTTCCCGAATCTTATTACATGAGCTTAGATTCACAAAACTACTTGCGTGTCTACATTCACTCTCTTTTATGGTCAACATTGGACCCAGGACAAATATGTCTCAGTCCACATCTCAAATCAGAAAAACGGAGGGAATTCACAAATTGAGGCAATAATTCTGTTGGTCGAGTTCATAGGGTCAGTCACTAAGTTATGACCATCGTAAAACCTGGGAGATATGTGCATCCTTTCAGATTGTAACACCATATCACAACAATATAAAATTATGCAGACAAATCACAAAATAGTAGGATCAGCAATAGTAGAAAAGATTAGGTATAGACAGTATAATTCGCGAAGAACGAATGAAGAAAACGAAGTACAAAACAATTCCAGAACTCACAATGCAAGGATAGGTAATGAGTAGGTGCATCTGTGCAATTGCGACTGATTCTAACTTACATCATCCAACGTTTCTAATTATTGGCTATAATAATCGGGCGTAACCCAACTCTGTTAGTTTAAACCTACTAACATGGCTTTGTTCAACTATCAATGACTTCATCGATTAGTGACACATTTTCCTTTGATGGCCCATATTGAGCTAGGTGGTGGTTGTATTTACGTACAATATGTCCTAACCACTTCATTTGAAGATTCATTGTTTCATTTGCTGATATCCCACCTTCACATAATAGTGTTTGAATGATCTCAGTATTGGTCACTGAGTGGTCCCAACATACGAGAGCAATGCTTCGGAAGTATCCATTAATAAATACCAGTCATATACGAATATCCTGTTTTTTCAACGCCCCGTTTCATAGTCATAAAGTATAACGTAGCATGCTGTTGCACAGTGTACTTGTCATTTGGTTAACAAACGAATGTCTAACTTTTTAACAAGTGACCCAAGTTGACAAAAGTCAAACTTTCTAAATTAATGTCGAGATTTCTTCAAGTACCAACCCACTTCGACTAAAGATAAATGAAGCGGTCAATGCACTCAACTTCGTTTTCTGTCATTGATTCTGGCGTTGAGGTAAGCCAGTCCTGAAGCAATATTTTTGGTTTAAAGGGAGAGAATTACATGTCAAACAAGCTATCATTGTTGCTGAGTATAATCAAGAGACTGCACCTTCACTGAACAGAAGTATGTCACCTGCATATTCTAAGTCAGCAAGTGAGATCACCCCTCGGGAAGTCAGACGGTGGGGGGTTTGTTTTTAAAAGAATTTCCGTGACTAAAGGAAAAATGGGGACAGTTCCCCATTAGCTTTGACTGGACCAGTAGTGTTCGTGTAGAGAGCTTTTGCAACTTTTTTATACTGTTTTCATACATCTTTCAGTGATAGGCACTGCCATAAAGCCTATCAAGTGCTGCTTTAAGTTCAATAAGTACAACTATAGTCGGTTGTCAGTAGGTATGTTTGTGTTTCACAACCTGATGAAGAGTGAAGGAAAATTATCTGATCAATGTTTCGAAAATACACGCAATTCAAAAAACTAGTGTTTACGAAAATTCAACAAATAACCTAACTAGACATTCACAAAAAACACTGGACGGCTGTTTCTCCCCAGTGTAGGACTCCTCAATAGTGTGTATCTAGAAGTTAAATGTTCGCGCGAGACCAAAGGTCCTGAACTTGACCTATCCCCGGTGTCATAGTTGTGGATGCTTACTCATGGAGAGTCCTATGCTAGGATAATACAGCTGTTCAATGCTTTCAGGTTTTTGATGAATATCTAGTTCACGTTGGTTCGTGATATCAATAAAATTAGGTAATCTCCACAAGCCTCTATACTGATAAATAGCCATATTTTTAAAATCACAAGTTCACCTTTATCCAGTTTTGGGGATTATTAGATACTTAAGTGGTATACAAGTATATTAAAAATGTAAATTATATTTATCAAAATAGTGTTATCAATTGAAACCGACAATGTAAAGACCTTTTTTTCTAACTATTTAGGGAAGTTTGTGGTGATTGTCAAATTTTAAGGTGCACATCACTGACTGATTTCAGTTGAACAATCATTGAAAACCAGGGGGTATTTGACAGTTTCATCTTAGTATGGCACTCCTCAACAGTGCATATCCACAGCCCCACTAATGATCAAACCATGGTCTTGTGTCATGTCTAATCTCTGGATCACTGAGCCGCCATCCAATAAAAGATGATTACGCAATATGGTGAATTGATTCAAACTAAATATGTATGTCTCAATTTCGTAAACAACAACACCCCTGTAGTGAGAAGGCAGTGAGTAGGACTTCCCTGGCAGAAACTATATATTCGCGTAAAAATGTATGAACGAAGAGTTACAATAAGTGACCTTTCTTTCTGTTTCGTTTTTTTATCATGTATTATTGTTTACATTTGATTCTTTGTTTATATTCAATCGAAATTTGTCTCTTACTCTTATTACTTCCTAGTTACTTTATAAAACTTACAAACGACGTCTAGACAATTTAGATGCCAGTTTATCAGCACTACAAGAGCAGACTAATGCAGAACAATCATCTAATGTTTTGCCAGTTTCTAAACTATACAAACAAAATAATAATACTAAAAATGTGCAAGAGAAAATAAATCCATCAGTGTTTACAAATTCAACAAATGAGAACGATAGAAATGTTCCATTACTACCACAGGATTCAATTGTTACTACATGTGTTACTGATTTAAATGAATCTGTTAATCATAGATTACATTCTCGTTTATCTTATTGTCATCATCACCACTATTCTCATCAAAATCCTAATGTTTTACGCATAAAACGTTCAGTATCAGTGCCTCGTTCTCCGATTTCATGTAATTATCTCAGGAATACAAATAATCCACATATATCATCTCATCATTTACATGATAGTACTTCAGTTTCACGTGATCTAGCAGTATCATTAGCTTCAATCGATGTACAATTACATAATGTTTTAAAACATCTTGATTCAAATACTGATGAAAGTCTTCAATCACATATAAACCATTATATACAAAATCATTATCCTATTTCTGGCATAACCGATGAACAACATCATTATACTAATGAAGATACAAATGTTGGGCATATTCAACATTGTTTAGAAAATATAAACTTAAGTAATGAACCATTACATGAAGCTGGTTGTAGTGGTGGTGGTAGTTGTATGTCAAATAATTTGACATATTCACCTTCATGTAGTTGTAATAAAACTCCATCTTTGTCTTATAAAACAGTAGATTTATTACATTCACCAGTCAACTGTTCACCCAATTCAAATTTGGATTTTACATCAAACAGACGTAATAGTATTTGTACATCGAGGTATGTTTTTACTTGTGTATTATGTTATTCCTTGTACATTATAATATTCCCTGCACATATGTGGTTGCTCTTTCATGGTATATTGAATAATTAAAAATACAGGTATGTAGTCCTAGCGTAGTTAATGCGACATTATTGCTGAGAAAACTTTAATTTTTGCTCTCAGTAAGATCCAGGACTCGTCACTTGGATGTATCTTCATCTTAGTGTCCCATAATAGGACGAAACGGCCGTCCAGTGCTTCCAGGTTTTCGATGGTGGTCTAGCTTCAATTGACCCATGATTTCAACTGTGAATACTATTAGCCTACATATATCCTCTCCGAGTTAAGGATGTTAGACGACTCTCTGTGTTCGATTATCGTTGTTTCCGAAGGATTGCTGACATCCAGTGGCAACACCATGTTAGTAATGCAGAGACAATAATTCAATTAGTGTCACCTTGAAACACCGACTTCGGTGGCTTGGACATGTTCTACGACAATCGTCCCAGAGACTTCCACGTCGTGCATTATTTGCCGACTCTGGGACTGGTTGGAAAAAGTGGAGAGCTGGTCAGTGTTTGACATCGTGTCGTGCCATGAAAGAAGGCTGCACATGAATGGCTTCTGTCGGTCCTTCACGACTCCCTGGTTGGGGTCCTAGAGATGGTGCAACACAGTGGTTAGAGAAATTATCAGATATGACTCACAATAGAAGCCAGTGTCGAACCTGCTGTAACCTTCTTTTACTTTCTTCATCAGAAGTGGTTCTAACTTTCTTAACTGAAAGAGTCTTACGGTTGTACATTTCAGTCCCCCTTATCTTTTCATCCTTTCTCTTTTCATTATTTTGTGTGGCGCATATGTATCTGGTGCCCTTTTGTACCAATATGTATGTGTTTAAATAAATAAATAAATAAAGTCCCCAAATGCTGTGGTGCAGCCGAGATTGGGGAGAGTCCATTCCCCCTCTCGAAATGCTCTCACATGGCGACGCGCTCATCGCCCCCGCCAGGGAAGTTCTACTCACTGCCCTGTCGCGGTGGGGGTGCTTTTACAAAATCAAAAAGATAAAAAGTGAATGCCCAATGCTTTGACCGGGTTGGTGGGTATAGCGGATCCACTTAGAAGAGTCGGAAAACCCCGACTCCAAACCAATGGTTCACAAGAACTCCAGGATCCTGAGATAACAAATGACGTATGGATCTATCGTTGGTCACCAGCTAGCATGTGGCTGCATCTCCCGACGTTGCTTGATGACTGCCTTGTGTATTAGACCTCTAGGTGAGAGGCTCGGAAACTAGTCGCCTAAGAAGGCCAGCTGTTTCAGTTTTGGCGTCCGATTAGTACCCTAGCCCTCACAAAAGTCGAATGACGAGGTGTGGCGCATATATATTTGGTGCTTCCTTGTACCAATGTTTATGTGTTTAAGTAAATAAACACAACGAGAATAGCAAATAAATTAAAATTACGTATTATTTACAATCATACTGCGAAAGAATGAATATTAAGAATATAACTTGAAAAGATAAAATAAAGTGGCATATTTGACGGAATAGTAAAACTTACAATTTAGAGGAAGAAGAAGAACTTCATGTGTGCTTTTGTAAACATTTTTGAACCTTGTCACCTTACGTATCCAAATAATAATCACCTGGCCATTAAGAGTAGAAGATACTCGTAAGTTACTAGTATTTGACAACAGATGTCTTAGAAATATTGCTCGCACCTGCTGAGATCACCGGGTAAGTAATAGTGAGGTTAGACGCAGGGTATTAGGGAATGATGGTAAATCAGTTGATGAGGTCATGAATCTTCATCGACTGAGATCTTTGGGCCACGTGTTACGTATGCCTGAACACCGATTACCACGACGCGCTATACTGACTAGTGTGGGGGATGGTTGGAAAAGAATTAGGGACGGCCAACCCAAGACGTGGCATCAGAGCATGAAGTCACTAACTTCTAGTCTGAGCCATATTGGCAGATGCAGACTACTTGGTTGGGGTCCGCGCGACTATCGTAACCAATGGTTGGAGACTCTAGATGACATAGCTCAGAATCGACCACAATGGTGTAGGTGTATACACTCTTTATCTTCCCTCAAACCTTGAGATTAAAATTGCTTCATAACTTTATTCCTTCCTATACTATATCCTTTTATACAACCTTTCTTTTATATATTACCACCACTAAATCAACTACTTCTATGAATCCGGTGTTGATCTTGTTGTGCTAACGAGGTATGGCAACTTAGACCGATGCATGAATGTGCCTGGTCCTACATTGTAGCTGACTGACTGACTGAATTGTTTTTTTAACTGACCTCAAGCAATTGGTCCTTCAGTTCTGTAATCACATTCTTAGGTTGTCAAGACAACCCTTGATTCAGTTCCATTTTAAAACATCCCAAGAAAAATTATTCTTCCATGATGTAAGCAAATAAGGAATAACCATCGTCCTACACCTCTAACTTTTTTAATGGTTGTTTCAGTCAAGTTGATCACTTCATATACTAATAATTTAATATATTCTCTCGTGGCGGGGGTGTTGTTGTTTACGAAATTGAGAGGACGAAAAGCGAATGTTCGGTGCTTTAACTGGGTTGGTAGATACAGAAAGTCCACCTAGGGGAGTTGGAAAACCACAATTCCAAACCAATAATCCACATGGGTTGGCTCCAGTATCCTGAGGGAACAAATGGCGTGTGAATCAATCGTTGGTCACCGGCTACTATGGGATTGCATCTCCTCCATTGCCTTGTGGATCAGATCTCTAGGTCAAAGGCTCCGGATGTGAGCCTTTAAGAAAACCACCTGTTTCGGTTTGAGCACCTGGGCAGTATCACAGCTCTCACACAAATCGAATGAGATTTGTGTGGCGCATATATATCTGATGCCCTCTTGCACCAATATTTATGTGTTTAAATGAATAAATAAATAAATAATATTCTCTCATGAAGTCTAGATTATTATTATTATTGTTATTATTATTATTCCTTTACATTTTATGCCAGGTTCATGAAATCCGCTCACAAACCTGTGAAATCAGTACTATAAACAGCATTTATCCGTATCAACATCATTTGTGCACTGATCCCATTACACTTATGAAATAATGAATCTTTGTTTTCAATCCTTTCATATATAGACGACCTTTTTATGAATGTTATATTATTTGTGCTTTTAACCGAAGGCTATTTTTTGTATACCAATCGTTTTTTTTAGTGTACCCTTATATTTTTTATTAAATTTTATAACTGATAAGTAAATAAACATATATTTATTTGGGTTTATTGTGTTCTGTGTTGAATTTATGAGTCAATCTCAGTTAGACAATTATTGAAAAACTGGAAACACCGTTTCGTTCTAGTATAGGACTCTTCAGAAGTGTATATCCATGATTTTGTACTCAGGTCTAGAACCCTAGGACCTTAGATTTTGCGCGCCAACACTTCACTATAAGACCATTGACTCGGCATCCAACAGTGTTAATTACTGAATTCAATGATTTTGGGAAACCCTTCTCTAAGTTTAACTAACAAGCATATCTCAAAGTTTATTAACACACATCATTGTCGAGTCCATTTGAACTTCAGTTAGTCATGAATTTTCGAAAACTTATAAGACATGGAAATTATGTCTAATATAGTTCAAATTACCTGAAGACACTTAAATCAGCATAATAAGTAGCAGGCAAAGCCTATCTTGTCGGCCTTTACGAGGACACTAACTTGTGTGTCATCCATGCCAAGTGTGTCACCATTATGCCAAAGGACATCCAACTGACCCATCGAATCCGTGGCGAACGAGCCTAAGCCGACCTATGAGATGTTTGACCGGTGAACCTCAACGTTACTCACTTAATGATTACATCACATACAACCGATAGGGTGGACGAAAGAGAATTGGCTGATAACTACATATAAATATCCCGTCAGTCGTTACGTAGTGCTTTAAAGAATATGGGTACGGATTTGTAGGAATGAGATATTTTGACGTATAGGAGTGGTTACGTACTCAAGTTATGTTTTGAATGAAGTGTGAATTTCGGCTAAATAGTTCTGAGTTCGGTTAAAATAACAAAATGTTCTGGCACTATATTTTGTGCTTGTGCAACCTAAGGATTGTAGGTTTATTTTACGGATTCAACTTATAACCGTTTTAATTAATATTGATTTTAACGTTATTTTCAGTTTTGACTACACAAAGCAAAATGAAACTGTTGTCATGTGGACGATCAACTTTTATTTAAACACATAAATATTGGTACAAAGGGGCACCAGATACATATGCGCCGCACAAATCTCATTCGATTTGTGTGAGGGCTGTGAAACTACCCGGGTTCTCAAACTGAGGCAGATGGTTTTCTTAGGGGGCCACACCCGGAGCCTTCGTTCTAAATATCTGATCCACAAGGCAGTGGAGCATCGTAAAGAGATGCAATCCCATGGTAGCCGGTGACCAACGATTGGTTCATACGCCATTTGTTCCTTCAGAATACTGGAGTCCATGTGCACCATTGGTTTGGAATGAGGGTTTTCCAACTCCCCTAGGTGACGTTTCCGTGTCCACCAACCCAGTTAAAGCGTCGGACATTCCATTTTCGTCCTCTGAATTTCGTAAACAACACTCGTTGTGCGATAAGTTAGTGAGTAGGTCCTCCCTGACGGAGTCTATATACGCGTGGTCATGTGAGAGCATTTGGAGAGGGAGAGAGGACTCTCCCTACTCTCAGCCGTACCAGGGCATTTGGGGCGGACTAACGATTCTGAATTCATATCCTAACGTTTTATCAAGAAAAGACTAATAAGCTGAGTTATATGTTAATTTATCATAATCGAACATTTCAGCCGACGAATTGTTGGAAATAAATGTAATTATTTAAATATGAGAATTCAAACAACCGTCTGTGGTGAATGCTATTTACAAAATAAACTGATCTATCTAAACCTCTATGATAATTGTTGTCTCGGGAATCCGTTACTTCCATACCTCTATTGTATCGCGGATGAAGTAGACTGCATCAATTATCGTTGTGCTGTGCTATTTTGATTGAGTTTGAAAATAAGTATACTCAATTGCCAACTTGGTCGTATGGTGTTTATAAGCTTATCGAGAGTACTGAAATTCTCGGCCTCGATCGCCATTATTGTTTTCGATATCTGTTATTGATCAATCTCATATTAGAATGGAACTGTTCCTCCCCCCCCCGCTCAATTATCTATGCTATTGTAAAATGAGGTCTGTAAGCGACGAATACCGCCGCAATTTTCCACTTAACTAAGTAAATTATTAGACTTCAGAAGTTTTCATGGCCCTTTTAATTTGTTTCTTTCGTAGTTTACCACCACCACCACTTTTTTATTTCGATGGAATTCATTATCTTCAGTACTTAGTTACTAGGAATTAATTATTTTCAACATGAAAGTATATACAGATTTACAAACCAATAATCTGATCTCTTTTTTCTTTGGGAATGAAATCTCGGAAATGTATTATGTTACTGTAGCATACTCGATCGTTAAATTAGGATCTAACTATTGATACTTTTTCCAACTACAATCAATAAGTATTGCCCTATTCCATTGGTTCTTATTATAACACTCGGTTTCCTGTCTACACGAATAGGACACTAATTTGCCTTTGACAAATATCTACATTAGATTCTCTCCCAGTGCTTGTTCTACAGGACTTCAACACAACTCCGAACAAGGACATATGATTAGCTTGACTAGAACGTAAGTATATTTCCACACCAAAAGCCAACAACAATTACAGTAATAATAAAGGTAAGAGAATCTTTACTCATCTAGTATCTGTCGGATTGTCTACAAATCTGACTAAGCAAACAAACAATCATTAATCTCCTCGCTCACACATCAGTTCTAGTAACATCAAGAACATAAGTGGGGACAATCGAATGTATTTCAACACAACATTACAGAATATCTCATTAAAATAAAAGAACCATATAGGGAACAGTTAATTTGCAAAATAACAATCAATGGTCTCCATTTGACTGTTTCTTCTGCAAATATCCGTCCATAGTCTCCGATTATAATTGTTCATACATTTTCGTACCCATTGCGTGCTGTTCCCTTTCTCTCCTTATCGATCTTCTACTGAAATACATTCAATGCCCGACCATCACGATATACTACTTATGTGGATATCAGTAACCCACACCACAATTATACTCAAATTCAACAATACTATCATAGAATCATCTTGTAGAAAGTTGTTGTTCCTATTAAAAGTCTTCAGATACACTTAATTATCCCAAATAAAGTAGTATGTTGGCATTCCAAGTGATAATTATTAAATTTAAGTGTATATTTCAAAACCGGAATGTAGATAAAACCAGTTATTAGGTCCAAGATAAGAATGAAGCTGGATACAGTCAATCAGTATTGCTTGTTTGAATCTTCCCATCGATGTGTTAGGACTGCAACTGGTCAGTCTCTTATTGACATATGGGCATACTGTGAGTATTAACTCGATATAGCCTTAATTTACAAGCATTGTAAACAAAGATGGATAGTGGCTAGCAGTGGAATCCAGTTTGACGTGCGTTTCGTTCTATTTAGGACTCGTCAGCTGGGTGTACTTGCATCTCAGAGTTGATGTTCACTATGGGACTCAGTAGCTGAGTGGATAACACGATGGCGTTTGAAGAGAAAAGTACTGGGTTCGAGTCCTAGAGTGAAAATCAACTCTGAGATGCAAGTACATCCAACTGACGAGTCCTAAACAGGACGAAGTGACGCGCGTCCTGGATTTCACTGATAGTCACTATCTATCTTATATATATATATATATATTACTGTTATTTTAAACAAAACAGATCCTGGAGTTTATTTATTTTCGGTAATCATATTCAAGTTTCGATTTTGTTTATTAGTATAATAGATTATTAGACATTACTTAAAATCTCCACAGGAAATCCCCCCCCTCTATTATTATATATTCGTTTATTTAACTGACTCATTGGTGACCACTATATGTAACTAGTTCAGTGATTGGTCTATTTGTCAAGGTCACAGGATGTGAATTTGTATATATATATATATATATAGATAGATAGATATAAACAGATAGAGACGCCACATTTTTTTGGTGTTAATGGTACAAGTGAATGTTTGTTATCGATTTTTTTTCTCCGTTATTCACAATGAATGTATAAATATTTGGAATTATGTTGAACTAATGAATTCTATGCTAAAGTTTTGGCAATATCTAATTGAAAACGAATGAATATGACGTATATTTTGGATATTAGTTATTAGAATCAAGTGAGTAATTAAGATTGTTCATTAATAATACTTATTGAATGATTTATAAGCAAAGATGGAGAGTGGTTAGCAATGAAGGCGCGTTCCATCCTATTTTGGGACTCGTCAGTTGGATGTACTTGTATCTCAGGGTTGATATTCACTTTGGGACTCGAACCCAGTGGTTTCGCTTCAAATGCTATCGCTTTATCCACTCAGCTACTGAGTCCTGATAGCCACTTGCTTGTGCAATGGGGTAAAGTTTGAATTCACGTGTTATTGTTTGTTTGAATCTTCCGATTGATGTTTAGGATTGCAATTGATCAGTCTCTTATTGGCCATATGTGCATAGTGTGCGTATTGCCTCGATATAGCATTATTTACCAAGCATTGTAAGCAATGATGAACAGTGGCTAGCAGTGGAGGCTCGTCATCTGGATGTACCTACATCTCAGAATTGATGTTCACTTTGGGACTCGAACCCAGTACGTTTCGCTTCAAATGCCATCGCATTATCCACTTAGCTGAATCCCGATAGCCATTTGCTTGTGATGTCAAACTATAAATCTGATCAATTGTTAGGATCATATTACTTAATTGTATCAATAACCAACCAACGAATATTTGCATTCAGATTGATCACTACATGAATAACTCAGTGATAATGCTATTTAAAGTCTTTTCTGCATTATAAAAAGGGGGTTTTGTGGAGATTTTAGTAATTTCATATAGTTGAGATCATGAGTCAATTGAAGCTAGACCATCATGAAGAGCCTGGAAGCACTAGACAGCCGTTTAGTCCTATTGTGGAACTCCTCAGCAGCGCGCATTCACGATCCCACCTCACGAGAATAGAACCCAGAACCTACCAGTCTTGCGCCACTGCACTTAACCAATATTGTCGTATTGATGTTTATTTTTTTATTGAAGCTAATAGTGATTAAACTAATCAAACTAGGAACTATGTTTTACAATATTACATTACAATATAAAATATGCAAATTATTGTACATTTTAA